TATAACTATATTTACTTTGGGGTAACACCAACGAAAATCATAACCAAGAAGAACAAAAGCCAAAAACTATATAAAGACATTACAAATATATAATATCTTTTTAAACCATTTAACAATTCGATGTCATTAACGAAATCTTCTTTTGCTATATAATCTCTTAAATTGACTGGATAATCTTTATTCCATTTCCAAAAAAATTTATTTTTTTCTTCTTTTTTAATTATTACAACATTTTCAGTTTCTGGATATATAAATTTTATACCAAATATATAGTTTTTTTCATTATTATTTATAGGTATATTGTTATTATTGATATTATTTTCTGTATTATTATCGCTAATATTTATATTTGTAAAGGAGTTATTGCTATTTTCTGTAAAATTTATATTATTACTGAAACTATTTATATTTTCAATATCAGTATTGTTAACTTCAATACTGATATTATTTAATCTATTTATTATATTATTACTACTTCCAATTGAAGAGTCCAATTCATTACTAATTACCCCACTATCGTTTGAACCAATACTTGCTGTAATACTATTTAAAATATCTTTTTCTAAATCTTTATTTTCAAACCCCAGCATATCCAACTCTATACACTCTTCTTTTTTTTCATTATTATTTTTTTCTCTATTTTCATTGCCCTTTTGATTATTTGAATTATTGTTTTTCATTGTTTTTTTTATTTATTAGAATATATTATAGTTTTCTAAATTTAATTTTATATGAAAAACATTTATTGTTTTTTTTTTTTTATAATTATTTTTTTATGTGGTATTTTTTTTGAAATCTATTTAGATCAGCTGATTGATTGAAAATACTATTATTATAAAATAATAACCAATGATACTAAATATTGTTTTTGGTTAAATAAACTATTTTATTTATATATTTGAATGAATGTATGAATGAATAAATGAATATATTATATGTTTCTAAAAGTACAATAAAAAAAAAAAAAAAAAAAAAAATTAAACAAATTAATTTTAATTATAAAAAAAAAAAATAAAAAAAAATTTTAAAAAAAACAAATAAAAAAACCTTAAATACTTTGGGGGGGGTATGTGTGTTTTTGTGGGTCTACTATTTTTAATATTTTTTTTTTTTTGTATGTATGTTTAGGGGGTGTGTTAATTTATAAATTTTATATATGTTTTAATAAATATGGGAAGTTTTATTAAAAGTAGGTGGAGGTTAATAGTTTGAAAAAAAAAAAACATAAAAAAAATTTAAATCTTGGCTTTTTTTTAGATTGCTTGTTAAATTATTATTTTATAATTTGCGTCTATTGATAATTTTAATTATTTTTATTATTATTATTATTATTATTTAATAATTTGATTTAAAACATTATTTTCGAGATTCAAAATTAATAAATTATTTTATTATTATTTTTTTCAAAAAAAAAAAAATAATAAATATGAAAACAAACCAAAAAATAAATAAAAATAAAAATTAATAAATAATACAGAAACAAATATTAATATAACGTCAAAGTCTAAAAAACCTTATTATATTAATTAATATATTATTATTTTTCAAAAAATTTTAATCTCTCTACTGCGATCGAATAATAAAAAAAAATTAATAAATATTTTTTATGATAAAAAAAAAAAAATTTTTTTTTTTTTTTGCAAATTTTTTTTTTATATTTTATTATATTTTATAATTTTAAAAATTATTGGACCATTTTTTTTATAAAAATTTTATTATTAATAATTTTACACACATTTGTTAAAAATATATAATAATAAGAGAATAATTTTATTTTTATACTTCTCCTAATTTAATTTTGCTATATTAATAAATATTTAATTTGGGAAAGTACTAGGATGTCATGTAGAGATTACAGATAAATAAAAAAAAAATGCGAAAGTATATTTGTGGTTGAACAATCTGGATTATTTTTTTTTTCATGAACTTTGGATATATATTTTTATTTTATTTTCATCAACTATAAATGATCATTTTTTATCTCATTTATCTTTTTATTTAAAGTATTAAAACTCAATTTCTAATCTAAAAAATTGGATTATTGTTTTATTTTTTTATTTATTTTTTTATAAAGTTGTAAATAAAAAAAGAAATTTTTTTTTTTTTCCAATATTTTAATTGTTCTCTAATAGATTAACATATTTGTATAATTTTATAAAAATTTATTTAATAAAACATAAAAAAAAAAAGGTAATATTTATTGATAATGTTTTATAATACTTTTTTTTTATTTTGTTTTATTATTATTGGCCTTGTTGGAGCTTGGTTTTTGTAGTTGTAGTTGTGGCAGTGGCTATGACTGTGGTTGTTATTGTTGTTGTTACTGAATAAAGCTTTTATAATAAAGAGTTATTTAGTTTCTTCTAATATTGGTTTAGTTTTCACTTTGTTGTATAATACGAATTGAAAAATAACCTTTTTTTAAAGTTTTAAGTGATGACGGTAACCAATTGTTGGCATCACTATATATTAATGGGCCGGGTGTAACTACTAATTGTTCAAAACTACGACCGAATGTGAGTTTTTTTAGACTATTTGGTAATGAGCCGGGTTTAAATGCTTTGTTAAATTTTTTACCGAATGTGAGTGTTGTGAGACTATTTGGCAATGAGCCCGGTGTAAACACTTGGTTAAAATCATCACCGAATGTGAGTGTTATGAGACTATTTGGCAATGAGCCCGGTAGAATTACTTGGTTAAAATTACGACCGAATGTGAGTGTTGTGAGACTATTTGGTAATGAGCCCGGTAGAACTACTTGATTAAAACCACCACCGAATGTGAGTGTTGTAAGACTATTTGGTAATGTGCTAGGTGGAACTATTTGGTTAAAAAGATAACCGAATGTGAGTGTTATGAGACTATTTGGTAATGAGCCCAGTAGAACTACTTGATTAAAACAATAACCGAATGTGAGTGTTGTAAGACTATTTGGTAATGAGCCGGGTAGAATTTCTTGGTTAAAATAATAACCGAATGTGAGTGTTGTAAGATTATTAGGTAATAAACCCGGTAGAACTACTTCTTTAAAACTGTTACCGAAATTGAGTGTTGTGAGACTATTTGGTAATGATCCAGGTTTGATCACTTGGTTAAAATCCTCACCGAATGTGAGTGTTGTAAGACTATTTGGTAATGATCTTGGTTTGATCACTTGGTTAAAATTCTTACTGAATGTGAGTGTTTTGAGACTATTTGGTAATGAGCGGGGTTTAACTTTTTTGTTAAAATAATCACCGAATGTGAGTGTTGTGAGACTATTTGGTAGTGAGCCGGGTTTAACTACTTGGTTAAAACCATAACCGAATGTGAGTGTTGTGAGACTATTTGGTAGTGAGCCGGGTTTAAATTTTTGGTTAAAATAATGACCGAATGTGAGTGTTGTGAGACTATTTGGTAATGAGCCGGGTTTAACTGCTTGGTTAAAATTACAACCTAATGCGAGTGTTCTAAGACTATTTGGTAATAAACCTGGTTTAACTACTTGGTTAAAATCAAAACCGATTAAGAGTTTTGTGAGACTATTTGGTAATGAGCCCGGTAGAATTGCTTGGTCATAAAAATTGAATATGAGAGTTGTGAGACTATTTGGTAATGAGCCAGGTGTAACTACTTGGTTAAAGCAACGACCGAATGTGAGTGTTGTGAGGCCACTTGGTAATGAGCCCGGTAGAATTACTTGGCTAAAATAATCGCCGAATATGAGTGTTGTGAGACTATTTGGTAATGAACCTGGTGTAACCACTTGGTTAAAATAACTACCGAATTTGAGTGTTCTGAGACTATTTGGTAATGAGCCCGGTAGAATTACTTGGTTAAAAGTACCACTGAAAGTGAGTGTTGTGAGACTATTTGGTAATGAGCCGGGTAGAATTACTTGGTTAAAATTACCTCTAAATGTGAGTGCTGTGAGACTATTTGGTAATGAGCCAGGTGTAACTACTTGGTCAAAACAACCGCCCAATGTGAGTGTTGTGAGACTATTTGGTAATGAGCCAGATGTAACTACTTGGTTAAAACGACCGCCCAATGTGAGTGTTGTGAGATTATTTGGAAATAATCCCGGTAGAATTTCTTGGTTTAAATCATTGACTGTGAGTGTTGTGAGACTATTTGGTAATGAGCCAGGTGAAAGTAATTTTTTACTATAGAAAAATGATAAAACTGTCAAAAATGGTGGTAATTCATTTATATCTGGTAGTGTACCAATCCAATCTAGATTTGTTATATATGATTTATTTATAGACCAGTCATATAGGGATCTATCTTTAAAAAATCTCTCACCAAATATATTAAAAAATAAAATATGGTTTTGAATTTGTTTTCTTAAATATATATTATTCCAAACTTTAAAAAATAATCTATAATAAATAGTTAAAAAGAGAAAAAATCAATTTGTATGCTTTAATTTATTATTTATATTTATTATAGTATTGTCCTTACTTTTTTTCCATTTTTAAAAAAAATAAATAAATTAAATTATTATTAAACAAAAATAATTAAATTAAATAAAAATAAAAATGAAAAAAAAAAAAAATTAAAAATTTTTATTTTTTTTATTTTTCTTAATTATCGAAATAATTTTTTACCCTTTGAAATCTGATACTGAGTATGTCGAATGTCACAACTGGAGATCCAATAGAACTAGAAGGTATTTCAAAAAGTTTAAATAGATCTATTTATATATCCAATATTGGGCCAACCTTTTATTGAACATCTTCGTAGCCATGGATACGAAGGGAGCCACCACAATTTCAACACAATTTAATTCAATGTCGTAATGAAGACCTCTGATTTTCGAGTAATGTGATGGTCTACTATTTTCATTTAAAAGAATATCGATATGGTGAGTTTTCTAAATTAAATTTTTTTTATTTTATAAATATAAATATAAATAAATATATTATTTTATTTCTTTTTTTAGTTTTTATAAAAAATCAATTACATAAGGTAAACATTTTGAACATATAAGTGAGCAGCTTGGTCACCTTTGGCAACATATCCAAATGTGTAGCTTGAACCATTGGCAATACCATTTTGGTAGTTTGGTAAATCCATAACAGTGATACCATTGGAGAAAGTGCATTTGTCAACACCCCAGATTTGATTGGCATTTAATCTGACTGCTGATGCCATAACAAGATCTTTAATTGAAACACCTGAATGATTGATGATTTGGACTTGAACTTGAACGCTTGGACCTTCAGCACCATCAGTCCATCTGTTAACAACAGTTTGAACGATTTGGAGATCATTGCATTCATAAACACATCTGAAAACACCTTTGTCACAAATACATGAATGACCTGGTAAACAAGCGAAACGACCACATTGATAGTTTGCTGAAGCTGAGGCAATGGCTAATAAAGCAAGTAATAAAACAGCTAAGAATTTCATTTTTCTAAAATTAAGGTTTTTAATAATATTTATTAAATAATTAGTTTTTAATTGAAATGAATAAATAAATAAAAAAAACTCTTTTTATATGTTTTTTTTTATAATTCTTCCATGGAAGAATAATTAATTATTCCATCATCACCTATTTATTGTTTGCTATTTTAAAATAAAATTATTATAAATTAGTTAACTTGGATTGGGGTTGTTCTATGGCGTTTAATTTTTTTCAGATCTAAAACAAAAATTAGTTAATTAATAGATTTAATAAATTTTTTTTTAATTAAATATAAATAATGCAATAAATATATTTATATCCATTAAATAAAATTTTTTTTTTTTAAATTTTTTTTTTTATTTAAAAATTTTTAAATTATACTTTGTATTTATAATTTACTGTTATACTAAATATTGTTATTATTATTATTATTGTTATTGTTATATCTATTGTTGTTGTTGTTGTTGTTTTTGGTTATCCCAAAGTTGTAAAGTTTCAATAATATGTTTAATTGATTTTGATCTAACTTTTTGTACATCTTCCCATAAAACTTTTAATGGTATACCAACACTCCAAGCACAAGATAAAAAGTAACGACAGTTAGATTGTTGTTTTTCTTCAGTGGTAGCATTTTGTTGAATATGTTTTTTATCTACAGAGTTTGATTCGATAGCAGATAAAAGTTCTAAAAGGAATAAACCATCTTGAAGGAATTGATCTTTGAAGGATTGAATACTTTTTACTTTAAGTAAAATATCTGGATGAATCTTTGAGTTGGCCCATTTGAGTGCAGCAGATTGATTTGAGATTACAGAGTCGACAACTGTTTGTACACCAATATGTCTTCTAATTTGATTGAGAATAGCACGATTGGCACGAATATCACCATTTGCTAAATCAGTGCCTGCAATACCGGCTAAATTAAATTTAAGTTTATGACAGATTTCCATTGTATAATTACAGAGTTCGACCATTTTGAATACACTAGTTGGGTTGGTTCTAAATTTCTTTGGATCTAATGTACCTGCTGGTGTAACTTTTTCTAATACCTTTAAGAACAAATAACCACTCTTAAAGTCATCTAATAAATGTTTAACTTCACCCATATCTCCTGAAACACCTAATTCGTTAACCCATTTCAAAAGTTCACCATCATTATTACCTTGATCTTTTGATTTTTGTACTTGATCATCTAATTGTTCTACATCTAAACGGAATTGATAGGTTGGCAAGCATGGACATACTCTCATAATTTCGCAAACAAATAATTTATTTAATTGGCTATTTTCGGTTTCGACAATATCACGTGCACTCATCAATGGCATACATCCTAAAGCTTTGGACATTTCTATTACAATTTCGGCTCTCTTTTCCCAATCACTCTCTTTGAGGATTTCATCTTTACGGCTAATTTGTGGTGCAATAGCATGGAAGAGGTAAGCATAATTTTCACAATCTTCTACATCATCTGTAAAGTTATTAATTGAACGGTTGCTAGTTTTTCTAAGATGATGATTGAACCAACGTAACATAATCTTTTCTTTTTCTAATGCCATAAATGATGTTCTAGTTTCAGCTCTTAAAAGATGGAAGAGATTACGGTTCTTTGATGGATCAGCAGATTGAAGAAGACATGTTTCGACGATTGACCAAGTTAAATTATGAAGAGCAGTTGATGAAATATGTTCCATTTTTTCTGTGAATATTATATCTGGAATTTCAACACTACCAAGAGCCTTAGCGGCATTATAGGCTAACATTAAATTCTTTTTACAAAAACCTGTAGCTGCTGGTTGAATAACTTTTTCGTCGATAGTACCTGGATAAACTTTATTGACTAATTCACATAAAACACGACCACTTAAAAGAGTTGGTAAAAGTTCATATGGTGAATCTGCTAAACCTAAACCAGAGTTTGCTAAAATTTGTGAAATATATTTGGTGGCAAAAGTACGTTTTGAAACAACTTGAGTGTGGAATTCTTCTTCCCATTGACCACTACCAACTTCTTCGTACATTGTCAATAAAATATTCAAGTGGGTTTCAGAGTCATTTGATAATAATTGTTCGGTTGTGATGTTTGTTATACCTAAACTGTGAAGAGCACTTTGAATATATTCAGCTTTTTGGGCAGTTGATGATAAGGTTTGATAATGTTGGTAATCAAATTCTTGTGGTTCGAGTTTGAATAAGAGAGCAGCATACATATCTAAATTGGCCTCCATTGATTTTAAATTTTTTAATTGTACAAGTTCGACAGTGCTAGCACCAATCAATTGGTTACCTTGTAAAAGAGCAGCTCTGGAGAGTTCTAAACCACTAAGGCCGGTAGCATTGGCACCGCCAATAGTAGCAGTGGATGGTTGTAATACTCTTGATGATGGATTTGATGCACCAGCTTCAACACCAATAGTGCCATTAGAGGATGCTAAAAGTACAGCATTTGATGGTGAAATACCATTAGATGAGGATGACAATGATTCAAATTGTTGATTTTGTTGTCTGGATGATGATTGAAGGGATGGTGAGCTAATTCCACTGACAATATAGTTGGCCCATGATAATAAAAGATTCTCTGGTGATAAAGCAATAGCTTCAGAGAGTAATAATTTGAGTTGTGGAGTCTCGGCTGAAACGGCTTCTAAACGAGCTTGTAATGAACGAAGTCTCTTTGATGCTAATTGTTCTTTTTCTCTTTCTTCTTCCTCACGTTCGAACTCATCCATCATATCGATGTTATCCTCTTCTTCTTGTTGTCTCTTTCTTTCCTCCTCTTCTTCTTGTTCTTTCTTGATACGTTCTTCTTCCTCTTGTTGTTTAACTTTAGCCTCCTCCTCTTGTTTAATACGTTCTTCCTCTTGCTCTTTCTTGATACGTTCTTCCTCTTGTCTTACTCTTTCTTTTTCTTTTAATTCCAATTCGAATTTTAATCTAATTTCCTCTTGTTCTTTTTTGATACGTTCCTCCTCTTCTTTTCTAACTCTTTCTTTTTCTTTACGTTCTTCTTCTTCTTTACGTTCACGTTCTTCACGCTCGACACGAATACGCTCTTGACGTTCACGTTCAACACGCTCTTCCTCTTGACGTTCTAATTCTATACGTTTTTCCTCTTCTTTACGTTCTTTTTCAACACGTTCTTGTTCAACACGAATTCTTTCTTGCTCCTCTTTAATTCTCTCTTCTTCCTCTTTGATTTTTTTAGCAAGTTCAATTTTTTCTTGTTCTTGACGTTCTTGTTCCTCTTTAATCTTTTGAATACGTTCTTCTTGGTCCATTTCCATTTGAAGCATAAGCTCTTCGAGCTTTCTATCTTCTTCTAATTGATCTTGTAATTGTCTTTGCTTTTCTAATTCTAATTGTTGTTGTTTTGCAATAAACTCTTCTTGTTGTTTCTTTAAAAGATCTTGTTCTTCTTGGATCTTTCTAAGTTCCTCTTGTCTCTTTTCTTCAATTTTTTTACGTCTTTCTTCCTCCTCGATCATTAATCTAACAATTTCTTCTTCCTCTATACGTTTTCTTTCTTGTTCTTCACGTTCTTGTTGCTCTTGTTCAATACGGATACGTTCTTGACGTTCTTGTTCAGCACGAGCTAATTCTTGTTCGATAGCTTGACGCTCTTGTTCTTCTTTTTGTAAACGAACACGCTCTTGTTCTTCTCTTTCCATACGATCTCTCTTTTCCTTTTCTTGTCTTTGTTCTTCGATTCTTCTCTTTTGTTCCTCTTCTTCTTCGTCGAAATCACTGTCATCGTCATCATCTTCACCACGTACTCTCATTGATAATCTATTATTACCAATAGTAAGACCGCCTGGACCATCGCTGACCTTTTTAGAAGCAACTCCAAAGAAGTGAGTTTCATAAGCAAACATTCTTCGTGAAAAATCTAAAATCTCTACCCATTTTTTCATTTCATTGACATTTGAAGCCAACATTATAAAAGTTCTGGCTGGTGTAACAATTTCAAAACACATCTAATAAATAAATTTGTTAATATTTAAATCCTATTGTTTATTATCAAATATTTATAACTAATAATTACCTTTAAATATTTTGATGGTATATCGACAACTTCTCTTGCAGGTCTAACAGCTTGAACAGTTTTCATTAATATACAACCCATTTCACTGTTATCGGATTTTGATTTATAATAAATAAGTTTATTCTTTCTAAGAGAGTACCAACGTTTGTTCCAATTCTTCAAACCCTTCATTAAACCACCACCTCTCTTTCTCATCATAAAACCTTCGAAATATGGGACTTGAACACAAAGATTTAATTCACCTTTTGAAGTTCTGAGAAGATTGGTTGTACATTCACCTACATAGCCTTGTTCTCTAATGGTCATATCACCAGATAAAACTTCAACTTCGTAAACATTCATATTAATAAGTTGGTCTTCGTCGACAGCACTACTAATTGGAACTTGTGTTGAAACATGCTTGATAATATCGGAAACATTCATGGTATCGTCTACCATTAAAGTCTTGAATTGATTATCACCTTTTGCTACTTTGATTGGTCTATAACGTTTCTTAAACTCTACAAACTCCATCATTGGTGAGTCTTTTGATGTAAATAATAAATTTTCCTTTTCGTTTTCTCCTTCTAATCCATAGAAATCTAATGGGTAATCGTCTCTAAACCAAACACCATTTTGATCATCTTTTGGTGGTAAAAATAAACCATATTGCTCTGGATCGACCTCTAATTCTGCTGCTATAAACAATCTGGCTTCTTTAACTGTCTTCTTTGGATAAAATTGAAATTTTTTAAATACTTTTTTATCAACTAATCTAACTTTTAATGTAATTGAATCTGACATTTTGTTGTTCTTTTTGTTGTTGTTGTTGTTTCTTTTTTAAGTTTATTTTTAAAAACTTTAATTTTTATTAAAAATACAATTTATTTATAATTTTATCTATTTTTTAAAAAATAAAAGATAATTTGATAATAAAGTTAATATAAAAAAAAAAAAAAAGTTAGTTAAAGGTTTAAAAATTTTATTTTATTTTTTGTTTTGTTTTGTGCTTTGTGTTTTGTGTTATTTTGTTGTTGTTTTTTAAACTACTGTGTGGTTATTATTTATTTTTTTTTTATTTTTTTAAAAGATAGCCATTTGATTTGAAAATATCTTTGGTGTTATTATTAACTATTATTTATAATAAAAAATGGAATTTTAAACTAAAAATAACTATGATGTTATTGAGACATGTGTGAGATTTAGAATAAGATTTACTTTAATAAAAGATGTTCTTCCTCAAGACAAAAAAAAGAAAAAAGAAAAGATACAATAAAAGTATTATTAAAAATAATTAAAAGTTTTATTATAAATTATTACAGCTATTATTATTTTAAAATTATATTATATAATATTCTATTTTATATGTTATTTGTAAAACAAATAAATAATCAACTTAAACAAAAAGAAAAAAATAAAAATAATAAAAAAAAAAAAAAAAAAAAAAAAATATTTTTTAAAATTAATAATAAATTTAATTTCTATAGAGATGTAGTGGTTATTATTGTCAATTTTTCATTTAATATTAAAATGATGATGCTGATGAATTGTATTAATATTGTTTTATTTATTATTTTTATTTTTGAATAATGGGCGTATAAATATAGATATAATAGATACAAAATAATATATTATTGCTTGAATCACATAAACAACACATACATATACACACACATACACTTTAACACACACAAACAAAGAAATAAATTCTCACTTTCACCCCCCACACACACACATATGTGTTAAATATACAAATTTATATAAACTTTAAAGTACAAAGAATAATTTTATTATTTTAGCTAATTTATATGATTTATTATTTATTATTATGAAAATACGATTATAAACAAAAACAACCTAAAAATAAATTATTTACTATTTACTACTATTTAAATCTAAAAATATTAAGAGTGTGAATATAAAAAACTGATGATGAGTTTTGTATTTATGCATAATATTATGTGGGAAGAGTATCTTTTAATTATTTATTTTTTTTCCTGTATCATTATTACGAAAGTTGTTGATTATATGAATAATAATTTTATTTTAACAATTTAAAATCTTACCTTTTTTCTATTTTGATTTTTGATTTATTTAATATTAAAATGTAATATAGTATCTGTGTTTAAATTTTATTATGATATGATTATAAAGATTTCTAAAAAAAAAAAAAAAATGAATTTAGAAATTTAAAAAGTGTAATAATACAAATATTGAAAGGAGAGTGTTTCTCTTTCTTTTTCTTTTTTTTTTTAGGTTTGTTTATATTAACCTTTGACACATAGAAAAATAAAATAAAAAATAAAATAAAATATGAAAAAAAAATAAAAAAAAAAGAAAAAAATAAAATAAAAAAAAAAAAAAAAAAAAAAAAAAAAAGAAAAAAATAAATATCTTTTAACTGAAAAAAAAAAAAATAGTTTTTTTATTTTTTTTGAATATTTCTGCATGAATTTAGGGTTTTTTTTACTAAGCAATAAACAATGTTGAACCCACATTTCCTAAAATTTATAAATAAATATCTGAATATGTGGCAATCAAATTGAGTTGTGTAGACCATATTAAAAATATCTTTTTTTTTTTTTATGATGTATTTTAACAACATTTGGTTTTATTCAAATATTTGACTAATATATATTTTATTTATTTTATTTATTTATTTTATTTATTTATTTATTTTATTTAAATATGAATATTTGTTTTTTTTTTTTTTTTTTATTGTTGTGGGATACCTTTTTCTTCATCAACTTTTAAATTATTTTCTTGTTGTTGTTTTTGTTTTGAACTTATATTACTGTTATTATCGGTTTGTAATGATGATTCAATTTTTTCAATTTCTTCATCAATTTTATTTTTGTCATAATAAATTGATCTTCTAAGTCTGCTAAATTCTCTTGCCCAAGCTTCTGCAACAACAGACATATCTAAGACTGATTCTTCAGCTCTTTGACGAATTTTTTCATATTGAGATGGATTATTAAAGATATTTATAGCACGATGAATAGCTTGAACATAATCGGTATGTTTGTGGGCTTCAAAGGTGAAACCATTACCTTGTTCTGTTTGGGTATTGTATTCAAAGACGGTATCTTTAAGACCACCGGTTTTGAATGCAATTACAGGGGTACCAGCAACAAAATATTCTTGTTGGACTACACCACTTGGTTCAAAAAGAGATGGCATTAAACCAAAATCTGAACCCAAGTTTACTAATGGACCATCTGAAAAGAATGCATCAGGATCTGCCCAAAATGATTGTGGATATTGTTTGCAAAGGGCTTGCATACTCCATGCACAAGAGCTTGCATATGGATCTTTCATATTTGCCATACCACCAACTAAAATTTGAATTTTACCTTGATAGTGTTGAATGAGTTCTCTAACAGCATTTAAAATTAAATGAACACCTTTTTGAAGAACAATTCTACCTACAAATGAAAGAACTGGAATGGATTTATCTGCATTGTTAAAGTATTTCTTTTGAAGCTCAGCTTTGGCACTCCAATGATCGGCTGAGACTTTACGCATAGCTTCTTTTCTTTCTTTAACCCTAATACCATTTGAATGTGCAAATGCCTCTGGGAAACGATGTAATAAATTTGCAAGATGACTTGTACGAAGTAAATCATAAAGATAAGATTTTGAAACTGTACCCCAATTATTACATGTTAATAATGCACATCTGGATGCATTTAAACATAATTGATGAGAATATGGATCTACAATTAAATCTCTATGTAAATGATGAATCCAGCTAAGATCGTCACCGCTATCTGGATAAATTCTTCCTTGATATGCTTCTTCTAAATTATGTACTAAATGGAAAAAGGTTGTGCCATTAAATGTTGTACCAAATGCACCTGATTTTGCATAACCTGGAACTAAACCTGTAAACCAATCATTTGTAACAACACTATCATATTTTAAAATAATAGGAATTTTAATATTAGTATTAATATACAAACTATTAATATTTTTTTATAAAAAAATTAAAACTTACACAGATGGTAAAATTCTTAATTGACATAGTAATTCCAATGAAGCTTTTGCAAATAATATAATTGTTTTCAATTGGTGAATTGGCGAGCCAGAGTTATAAGGAGTTGGGAAATATTCAAAATGATGTAAGAAATGTAAATGAATACCCTTATCCATACCTTCATGTACACCAACTTCAACACGATCTGGACCAACATATGTTAAAACATTTCTTTTCCAAGTGATACCTTCTTCTTTTTCTAAATAACCAGTTCTACCACCTTTACCATAATTATAGTATGGAGAAATGATATGAATCTCGCAACCTAATAATTGAAGACTTCTTGTGAGTTCATCTAACATGACACCAACACCACCAACTGTAGAGAAACGACCAATTTCAGGTGTAATAAATACTATTGGACCTAAAATATTATGTTGAAGAATTTCTTTGCTAATCTTTGGAATCTTTGGTATACTTTGGTTCTTTGATAAAACTTGTAAATATGAAATGATTTTATAGCCTTCAAAAGTACGAGTTAAATGGTATAATACACTTTGAACGAAACTACTGAATGTTTTTTCGGTATTACCAGAGAGGTTTGATAATATATTTTCTAAACATTTACCAAATTCATGGACACCAGCTGATAAACTATTTTTAATTAATGAGTAAATTAAATTATGGTTTGGATCTACATTGTCAGCTAATAATTGTTTAAGACGTGTCATTGAATGTTCGTATAGTACACGAGTTGCAGCTGGTGAGCTAACTTGATGATAAACACCCCAACAAATTGATGAGAAGCCTGGAGCTACTACAAAATGTTTTTCATAAAGTAATTCATTTAATGATAAGTACTGTGGTGGATTACTTGGATTAATAAGATCGACCATTCTATAAATTGTATCTGGCTCATTACAAATCTTGGCCAATGGACTGCAATCTACGTAAAATTCAGTATCAGTATTATCGAAATTGATAGCAATTATTACCACTTCATTACCAGAGAAACGAGCAAAGCCAAATACACGATCACTCCAGCCATTTTGATTGTAACATAGTAATGGAATCATACCACCACGACGGAGTAAGGTGTGGTTTCTACGAAGAGTAGCACGATGTTGATAGTGACCACGAATTTGTGGATATTGTAATTGATATGGTGTTGATGACATACCAACTTTAACACGACCTGTTGAAATATCTACTGCATAATACCAACCACTTTGTTCACCAATATAGGTGATTGGAATTTCTGGTAAAAAGTAAAGCATATCGACTGCCACCCAAGCACCAGCATTGTAAACTTGAAGTGGATATGGTGAATGATGGGTTGAGGATGGGAAAAGAATAATAGAGTTTTGTGGATAAGTTGACATACGCATTTCATAGTAGTCGTAAAGGGCTTTAACAGTTTGTCGTTGTCTAAGGTCAAATACAATACCATCTTTGCTGATACCCTTATCAAATACAGAGGCCAATGCTTTTGGAATAGCTGATGAGTATGGAACCAAGCCTGAAATAATTGAATGTAATTCTCTTTCCCAAAATACTTCAGCCAAGAATATAAATTGTGGGAAACGATTCCAAATTTCTCTAGTAATTTTAATAAAGAATGGGTTTGGGTAAAATGGAGTTGAATGTTTTGGTAATGGTGGAGTGGTTCCCCAGTAACCAAAATTTTTACCTTCTTCTGATGGACGCATAACAATTTCACCTTCAAAAATTTGTTGATTTGTATAATGTGGTAAATCGTCACTATCTAATCTATAAAGTTCATCAAGATTTGATCTAAATAATAATGGACAGGTGTGAGCACTATCAATACGGACACCATCTACACCCCTTTCACCCCAAAGTAATGTCTCTTGAACAAACATATCCCATACTGAAAGTTTACGCATATTCATTGATACACAATCATTCCAATTAAATTCAACTGAATCGGTACCTTCAAGACGACACAATTGACCATTGTTATCAAGTGTATGACAAACAACACCCTTATATTTTCTATGAGCAGCTTTAGATGAAAGACGGGTAGTTGAATCGATTACAATTTTAATGCCTAATTGTTTTGCTTTTGATACTAATTGGTTAAATAGTGGTATACCACCCAATAAACGATTTGGTAAGTCTCTATCAGTTGGGCACAATGGTTGGTTTGATTGTAATTTCTCCAATAAGCCCATAACATAAAGTGTAGTAATACCTTCTTGTTGGTATTGGGATAAACTATCGATTAAGTTTTGAATTGTACCTTTTTTGACCATTTCTCCTTTATGTGGATCCCATACGGAATCTTGTAAATCTACCCAAACTTCATGCATTGTTTCCTCTCTAAGCTTTGGATGAACAATAAATCTACCTTGAATTAATTCATTTTGAATTGTTGTGCTTGAAGCAGTCGAGCTTGATGAGCTTGATAGATTTGAGGTTTGTGTTGGTGTATTCAATTTTAATTTGTATTGGTTAAAGTCGAATGATTTAAATTCGCCATTTGGTAATAATTCAACAATTTTCCAATCATAATACCCAGCTCTATAGAACGATGGTAGCTCTATATAAATTTTATTACCATCAACTTTTGGTTTATGCTTATTAAGAATAGTTGAAATAGTTGAATTGCTGTCAAATTGATTTTGTTGACGTTTTTTAGTTGCATCGGTAGAAGCGGAAACACTAAAGGCTAGATTTGTCAATCTTTGGTTTGGTGGTTGGACAGTTAAAATATGAATTCTCTTCAATACATCCTCTGGTAACTGATTTTCTAATTCTATTTCAACTTTGAAAGCATCACCAATAACTCTGATAACTGGTTTTAATGGCTCTTCAAATTGCCAATCGTGACCATCGTAAATAACATTTAATAAACGAACTGATGCCTGTCTAATATCATCAATAGTATGGCCCATTAAACCAACTAAAAGCTTTTCTAAATATTTGAGAGATGATTGATGTTGAATGGCTGTTAAATATAAAATATCACTTTCGATTTGTTTCATTATTTTTGATAATTCGGCTTGTTCTTGTTGAGAATTTAATTGTAGTGGAATTGGTAAACCTTTGCTTGTGACATTGGAGGAAAGTGGTGTTGATGGGTTTGGGGGTGAAGGTGGAAATTGTCTTCTTAAATTTACTATTCTGTTTTGGAATGCATTATATTTCTTTAAATCCCAAAGATGAGAGTTGAATTTGGATAAAAATGAATTGAATTGTTTACTGATATCATAGTAGTATTGAATATTTATAGATTTAATCCAATAGTTGTATATTGGCTCTACCCAGTCGGCGATTTTGGATTTAATAATATCTAAAAGTTTCTTTTGGATTAAATAAACCAATGTGCATTCTAAATAATGATCTAATCTACCACCTGATTTTTCTGATAATAAAAGCTTTCTAATTTCTAAAGAAATATCCTCATTAGATTCACTGATGGTTGCTTGACAATCAGAGTTCCAATAAACTGTAATGTCTAACCATTCTGGAAGTGTTAGATCAGAGAAACCAACAATTGGTTTAGATAATGATTTAACTGTATTATCTAAATTTGCTTTATTATTTGTAGAGTTATTAGCATTATTTGAACCACTATTGTTTGCTGTTGATGATTGTGAAGCAGTCGATGAAATTTGTGATGTGGCTTTGAATGATGATGAGGCTGGTACAATAGTATCAATAGCAGGTACACTTGGAGATGGTGATGATGAGAAAATTGGTTGTGGTATACTACCAGGAGTCATTTGCTGTTGTTGTTGTTGTTGTTGTTGTTGTTGTTGTGGAATTAAAATTGAACCAGAGTTTTGTAATTGTTGTGTTTGTGATTGTGGATTTAATTCAATATTTGGTGGATAGCTCATTGGACCTCTAGAAAAGCCTCCTGATGTTGATAATGGGTTATTTGGAACAATAACATTTGGGTTACTCATAGTATTAGTCATCAAATATGGTTGGTTGGATGGAGATGGTGAAATTTCAAAACCGGTTTGAATATTTTGTTGTTGAGAGCCTGGAATTTGAATTCCAACATTATTAGATGATGACGAGGATGTTGATAATGGAATAGCATCACATCCAGGTGGAGCTCTTGATGAGGCACTGGTAGAGAAAAATGATTCAGTAAGTCTCTGTGGAGGCATACCACTTGATGAAGGAACGTCAAATGGTGAGGTTGAGAAACCAGCTCTATTACTAGCCGAGGATGAAAAGTTTGGAACACCAAATGAACCAGAAAGGGGGTTTGAGGATGGAGGTGAAAAAAGACTACTTGATGGCTGTTGAATATTCATTGGAATTGAGTTTGAAGGAGGTGAAATAAATATTGGGTTACTGTTTGGTGTAGAGGATAAAATACTATTGTTTGTATTTAATGAAGATGGGTTTGATGGTATTCTAGCATTACTAAACTCTGAGCCATCTGGAAGCAAAATTGGATCAGTTTCATATGATGATGGTAGTTTATTAATATTTGGGTTGTATGGTTGTTGATAGTTTGTTGCAGAAGTTGGTGGTTGTAATTGATGTTGTGGGTTATTATTAACATCTACACTAAATCCTCTAACTTGGTCAATTTTATTTGAACGCTCTGCTAAATCTTTAAGGGCTGGAGGGGCATCACGATTATTACCAGACATCAAAGCAGACAATGAGAAGTTTGAATTTGAGCCTTTGCTGCCACTGGATGTTGAACTTTGGCCACCATTTAAAGCACTTGTTAACAATGACTTTCCCAAATTTGGTGAGGTTGTAATTGGTTGTTTTTGAGGCTTTTCATTGCTACTAGAATTTGTTTTGGATTTTTGCTCATCTTGGTCAGCTGATTGGCCACCAATACCATGATTGGATGGTGAAGAGTAAGGTGGAGTGGTTGGTGTAGATCTTGTTGATTGTACTTCACTTAATTGGAGATCATCGACTTTAGAGGGTTTAGCAACAGTAGCATTTTCATCATGGCTAGAGGATAATGATTTTAAAGAGCCAGAGGACAAACTAGCATTTGACGATTTACCATATTTTGAATCTTTCATTTGATTTACAAGGATATGTGAAGCAGTTAACTGAGATGACGCGAAAACATTACCAATCTTTTTAAGCAGGTTTTGATAGAGACCACTTTGAATGATAGCTTGGTGAATCTTGAGAATAATACTGGCCCAATGAATTTTAAAACTGTTATAGTTTTTAATAATACTACTTTGTTCATCTAAAACAGAACGTGGTGATGGGGTTGGACCGAAAATTGAGTTATTATGATGGCTTGAATAGCCTTCAAACTCTATATCGCAATTGGCTTGCTCACCTTCTAAATCTTCTTTATAGCTATTTAGAATATCATTAACAATTGAATCTTTCGATAAAACTGTTGGGAAGTCAAAATCTATATAGTTATTTTCAAACTCTTTAATATTTGGTATTTGCTTTGTTATAATTTTATTGATTGTTTCGTTAATTAAATTGATTTTATTTTCATATTCAACTGTAAATGGTGTTGTAGTTGTAGCAACGGGTGATGTTGTCGAGTTTGTTGTGGTGGTTGTAGCAGTGTTATTTGTTGGTGATGTTGTTGTTGAAGATGAGGATGAAGACCCTGATGGTATATTTGGTGATGTTGGTGAGTTTTGTGAAATTGATTTCAAAGTAATGATTTGATCCAACAATGCCATTGAAATTGGTATCTTTACAGAATTTAATTTATTTTCAACATTTTTCTTTTCTTTTTCTTTTTCTTTTTCTTTTTGTAGTTGTTGTTTTTGTTGATTCTCTTCTGATAATTTTGATGATGTTAAATTAATATAATCATTATCATTATCATCAGAGATAATTAATTGTTGAACTAATTCTTCTATGTTTTGCATTGTTCTTTTTTTTTTTTATAGATAAAATAAATTATTAAATTATTTTATTTTATAAAAAAAAAAAAATTACAATAGTAATTACTAAATAAAAAAAAAAATAAAAAAATTAATATTTTTATTTTCTTTACTACACCCCACACCAACACACACTTTATAAATAAAATCCAAATTGAACAAACAATGAATTTAACTAAAGAATCTTACTTTTTTTTTTTTTTTTCTATCTGTAAGTATCTTAGAGAGAAAAAATTGGTGTATAAAAAAAAAAAAAAAAAAAAAGGTGGGTTCCCAGTTTTTTTTATAACAAATTAAAAAATTTAATTAAAAAAAAAAAAAAAGAAAAAAAAAAAAATACTCCGATGATTGTGGGGGAAACCAAAAAAAAATAATTTTTATTATTTTATTTTAAAAAAAAAATAAAATAAAAGAAACAAACTTTTGTATTAATTTGGTTGTTGTCTTTTGAAAAACTATAACTTATTTTTAAAACTTTTATAGTTCATATTATATATTTATAAAGATATAACTTGGAAAAAAAAAAAAAACTTATTTGTTCAAATTATTAAAAAAAATTTAAAAAAAAAAATTTTAAAATTTTTTATAAAAAAGATTTTTTTTGTTAAAAAAAAAAAAAAATTAACAGAAATGGTTTTTCAAATAGATGAAAAACCATTCTTTTAGAAAATAATTATGATAAGAATCTTTGTTGCTATAAATTAAAAGAAAATAATATATAAGAAAACCATGTTTAAATTTTTCTAACTAACTCATTGTTTATTTTTATTTTTTAAACTATAGTTTTAACAACAATGTTTAAAATAAATAAAAATAAATAAATAAATAAATAAATAAATAAATAAATAAATAAATAAATAAATAAAAAATAAAAATAAAAATAAAAATAAAAAATAAAAAATAAATGTAAAAAAAATAATTAAAGATCTGTAATTAATTAATTAATTATAATTGTTTTTGTGCAACCCACATAAACAACAAAAAAAACCCCATTATTATTAATTTATAATAATGGCACAAAATAAAAAATGGTGATGAAATAATTAAAATTGTAATTAAATAACAATTATAAGAATATTAGAAAGAAACAGTATAAATAGAACTGAAAATTTGTTTATTTTCATTCATTCCAATTAAAAACAATTTATTTAAAAAACTAAAAACCAGAAATAATGAAATTCTTAGCTGTTTTATTACTTGCTTTATTAGCCATTGCCTCAGCTTCAGCAAACTATCAATGTGGTCGTTTCGCTTGTTTACCAGGTCATTCATGTATTTGTGACAAAGGTGTTTTCAGATGTGTTTATGAATGCAATGATCTCCAAATCGTTCAAACTGTTGTTAACAGATGGACTGATGGTGCTGAAGGTCCAAGCGTTCAAGTTCAAGTCCAAATCATCAATCATTCAGGTGTTTCAATTAAAGATCTTGTTATGGCATCAGCAGTCAGATTAAATGCCAATCAAATCTGGGGTGTTGACAAATGTACTTTCTCCAATGGTATCACTGTTATGGATTTACCAAACTACCAAAATGGTATTGCCAATGGTTCAAGCTACACATTTGGATATGTTGCCAAAGGTGACCAAGCTGCTCACTTATATGTTCAAAATGTTTACCTTATGTAAATGATTTTTAAAAACTAAAAAAAGAAATAAATAAAATTAATATTTATAACCCCTACACCATTGAACATAAATTTATTTATAAATTGCGCCAGGGGGTTTCATAAAAATATATAAATTTGTTAATTTTAATTTTAATTTATTTTTATTTTTAATTTTTATTTATTTTATTTTTTTATTTTTTAAAATTTTTATTTTTTTTTTTTGAAAATTTTTTTTATTTTTTTTATATATCAAACGAATGTACACACACTTAAAATAACAGTAATAATATCCTTAGATTTATATTATATTTTTTAAATTACATATATGGGTGTGAATCAATTCAACCAATACAGCACACTAAATAAATAAAAGGAACAATAAGAATGGATGTACCATTAATAAGAGTCAACGATGTTTGTTTATTAGTTTTAACATTTTTAAAAGATGAAAGATTTAAAGAAACTCATGAAGTATTTTCAAAAGAATGCCATGGTTATATTAAAAGTCTTTTAAAATCGCAGGTTGGTATTAATTATCAAAATTATTTATATATATCAATTAACACATATCAATGTATATTAATTTTTATTAAAAGACAAAAGCAGTTAAATCTTTGACTTCAATTTTAAACGAATATATATTGTTAAAAGAGGAAAAAAAAAAAAGAGATTCATTTTTAAATTCAGTTTCATTAAATTCAAAACTATCAGTATCAGATCCATTTTATGATAAAATATTAACATCATTAGGATCAATATTTAATATAATCGACGATTATTCAACTTATAAAACTATATTATCGAAAGATGTTTCAAATACAACTTCAAATGATGATCCAATTTCTAATGTATTTTCAGGGTATAAACGAAGAAAAACTGAGAGAATAGAAAACAATACTATTATAAAAACAGAAAATAATATTAATCAAACAACTACAACCAAAACATCAACAGGTAGTAATTTCAATAGAACCAATAGTTCAGGAATTATAAATAGTAGTAAAATCAATAACAATGTTAATAATAATAATAATAACAATTTTAATATCAATAACAGCAAAAACTTAAATAGTAACATAAATAATATGACAGTTAAAAATAGTTTTGATATAGGTAGTTCTGGACCAATAGTATCAAATACAGTTTCAAATAAACCAACTAACTATACACCATTAATACCCTCAACCAATAGTAGTGTCACACCAATAACATCATCAACTACTATAAGTGGTTCTCAAGGTAATTTTACACCACAAAAGACTCAAGAAGGTTTGAATAAAAGAAAAAGTTCTACCCCAAAGAAACTATCGACATCACCAAATAATATGACACATTTGACTACTCAACCATTTACAAGTATTAATAGTATCAATAATAATGGTAATGGTTTTACTCAAATAACAAGCTCATCAGTTTTGGGTGGTAATACAAATGGAAATTTAATAAATATTTTTAATAGTAGTGATGGTAATAATATAAATAATTCTATTAATAACTCTATTAATAACAACAATAACAGTACTGTAAATAACAATATAAACAATAATAATAGTTATAATAGTATGAATATGAATAATAATATAAATAACATGAATAATAATAATTTTAACAATGGTATCAATGTTGATTTCTCTTTATTAGATGAGAAGAATTTTGAAGAAATGTTAAACAATCCAAATATTGCACAAAAATTAGCAGAACTAATCAATACCCAGCTAAATGATAATACCACCACAACCAATAACTCAAATATATTAACAAGTTTACCGTCAGCTCAAACAACACCAATGGTTGGGGGAGCAACAAACAGCACAAATACCTTTTTATCACCAGAATTTAATAATCCTATAAATAATGATTGGGGGAACAGTAATCCTATGGAATATGAGGTTTTAGACTATATACCAACAACTGATTTAAGTCAAATTAATGTAGATACTATTCTAGATTCTATGGAGGATGATTTTGCAATTTTTTTAGGAAAATCTGACAATGTTTTAGAAAACCAAGATTTAAATAGTGGTAGCATTGAAGGTATTCTCGGAGATAACAGGTCACCATTTTCAATATCACCAACAAATCCCAAAAAAAAACAATTTAATAATTTAAGTAATAATAATAATTTATATACAAACAATACCAGTGGAAATTTAATTGATAATATTATTAGTAATGTAAATAAATCCAATAATAATATTAACAATAGTAATAATTTTAATAATAATAATTTTAATAATAATAATAATAATAATAATAATAATAATATTAATAATATTAACAACAATAATAATAATAATAATAATAATAATAATAATAATAATAATAATAATAATAATAATAATAATAGTATTAATAATAATATAAATAAAAATAATAATAATATAAACAATAATGTCAATGTAAATAAAGATCAAACAAATACTCAAGAGTTAGATAGCATTAAAAATAGCAAAGAAAAGAAAGAATGTGATCAAGATAAAATAGAAATGATAGAAGAGGTAGATAGTGGATCAATTTCTTTCAACTTTAAATTATCATTAAATTTTTGTTAAAGAAAAATCGATTGTCTTAACAACCAAAAGAGATTAGAAAGTTTCCATTGTAAAATATTTAATAAATTTAATAAATAATAGATAATATTAAAATACAAAGATTGATTTTATTGTTGTTTTGGTTTTATTTTATTTTATTTTATTTTAATTACAATATTTATTATGAAGGGGCGATGAGATTAAAAACC